TAACTGAGCATTGTTCAGATTCTTCTTTGGTGCCACTACAAAATGGACTTACAGTATTTCCATTTCTAAAAGACCAATAGGTGCTTAAAATTAAATGACTGCATTATTTTTTTTTTGGGGGGTGGTGGTGGTGAAGAATTCATTTCAAAGAACCTACCTCAGAGAAACGGTCAAAATTAGACATGTCTTCGTCTGAATCATCTTCCCAGTCTTTCCAATTATTGAAGTCCACACTAAGCCAATTAAGCTATTGACCAATACAAACAATACCTTATGATTTGGTTAATTTGAACACTCTGTCATACACATTTACACAAATCATTTTCAAGCCATGTTCATATTCATTATTCGGGCATGGAATTGACACACACAAAAATAGTAACACCAGAGTAAAATAAAATGTCCTAAAGATGAATACATTTTCATGAAATATCTCCCACAATTGTTATATATCCACACTTGATCTTAGCCCAAAGGCCATGATGCAACGTTATATAGGTGTATATATACTGGATTACAATGTAGTATGTTCCTTTTTACTCTGGGTCACTGCCAAAGTTTATCAGCCATATACGAGGAATTATTTCTACAAATTACAAAAATCGATAAACATTTATGTAGCTCATTGATAAAAGGCATTTTCAATAAAATTCAATAAATAATTCTGTACCTTTAAACATTAACCAATTTAAAGATCTATGAAAACTAGTCTGAGCTATAATGTTTTTCAGCCGCACCAAGATATACTTCCACATAACATGTAAGTAATTTATCCAACCTTTTAGCCAAGGTCTCTTGAAAGCTAGAGACTTTGGTATTGTTTGGATTATACTTCGTGTTCACAACACAAGGCTCTAATAGTACTTACTGTAATTATACAACAAAATGGCAATATTCCTTATACCAAACAAATGCACCTTTTATTACTTAAAGATTTTATAACTTGTCAATACAAGAAACCTACCTTTGCTCTTTCTTTTGTTAACCTTGGCCATGACTGCCCAGATTCCCCTTTTCGTAAACAACATAAGATTGATCTGTCCGTTCTTTTATGCTTGGAATCCTAAAAACAAAAGGAAAATCACACCATTTCTCTTCACTAAACAGTTTTGCATACATTTTCTTTGAGTAAGTCAAATTAAGTTTGGGAACCTATGTTCTAAACACCCATAAACCAAGCCTCCAAAAGCATTTCCTTCTCCCTCTCCCCCAAAAGATAACTACACCTGCAAAAGATGAATATAAATAATAAAAGCTAAAGAATTAACTAATTTGGTACAACTAAGATGAAAAAGGATCACAAAATACAAATACACCCCTCTAGTTTTCTTCTAAACTGTTAAAAAGAACTACTTTTTACTACTAAAGAGCATTCAAGGTTTGTCATTTGCTCAATTTAAATCAGGATTAAAGCATCAGGCTACTTACATTTGGATCAATACAGTGGAAAAGATCAATTTCGTTTAAATGTTTAAAATTATCACTTCCTCCAAGACAGCTGTTATAAGGAGAAAAAATAAAAGTCTCTTCAAATGTGAACATTAATAGTAACCAGTGAAACATAAAGCAAGACAAAGTAATTAAAGTGTCTGAAATAAGCTTGATATAAAATAGTAATTTACCTGAATGTAAGTTTGGACTTCTCAAAATTTACATTAACATCTTTACTATCTTCAACACAAAATTCAATAAAGACATAGTCCCTGCGATCGTACCACTTTGCAGAAGCAGGCTGCCTACAAGGAGATTAAGTTAGAGAAAGTAAGCTGGAAGGTTATTAGTTATTAACGGAATATTCACATAACCTACAATGGTTTGCATGTATGTAATTGTACATTTTCCTGCTTCATAATTTTGAGGTCATCTTTGGCTTTAAAAGCGAAGTTCTCCCCTACAGCTTATTTCTATTTGAAGCAACATCTTACTTTTTGTTATTTTTTGGCAAACAAATATTATGTTTATGATTCTACATGACATTAGAGTTCTGTTGTTACTGATTTTGACTCAGTTACCCTGTGTGGCACAGCAGAACACCCATAGGGTTTTCTAGGCAGTTCAAACCCACCAGCCACCCAGGCTTGTGGGAGAAAAGACCTGGCAGTATCTGCTCCCAATAAGAGTACAGGCTAGAAAACCCGATGAGACGAGGTGTCAAAGGGATCAGGTATAAGGCATCATCAGAACAAAAAATCTTACCATAGTGAATGATGGGGGGAGTGCGGAGTA